GTATTACAGAAGTCTAGATCCTTAGGACGGGAGTTAAGTACCTCATTTAATTACTGTCACAAGCCAGTAACCCGGGATATAGCTAAGAGTATTAAAAAAAAAAAATCTTGAAAAGTATATATACTGGCGATTTACAGTAATATATATATATACCTACCTTTATTAAATTACATTTACAGTATAATTTTTAATATAATTTGTGCTTATATGGAAGTAATTTTATAAAATCACACTTCTTTATAATCATCCAATTAGATGTGTTCAACTGTATGATTATAAGAGAGGACGACTATACTAGATTTTAAAATATTTAAGAAACAATAAATTTTTAGTTTTAATTTTTTTTTTGTTAATTCGGCAATCTTGCCAATATTTTATTAGGTATGATTATTTGAACTTTAGTCTAGGAATATACCAAATTTGGAAGTTAGGTTCTAGAATAATCTACAGACAAATTTATGAATTTGATTGTTTATAGATCTATACATTACTAAATGATATATGAATAGATATTAAAAGCAACAAATCTCAGTAAGAGGGCATCCATAAATAATGTTATGCTTAAGGGGGAGGGGGTTCCCAAAATATAACGATTTTCAAATATTTAGAGAGGTCCCCCAAAATATAACATAATTTTTTTATAAAGATTTGTCTAAACTTTGATCTAGTGGTCCAAATTGGATGATTTTGGTATCATTTAAATCCTCTTGAGGAGAGGAGTCGAATGGTACCAATTCTATTTGATTTGGATTACTGAATTATGTTTTATTAACAAAATACTATTGGTTATTATGTTTTCTTATAAAATTACTATAAAATCAATAGTATTTTATTAATAAAAGGTTATTTAGTAGTCCAAATGAAATGATTTTGGTACCATTAGATTCGTCTCACAGAGACGAATCGAATGGTGCCAAAATCATCCTTATTGGATCACTGGGTCATAATATATCCAAGTTTTTGTAAAATTTTATATATAAACATATAAAAATTTTTTATATAGTCTAGGGGGGTTAAGAGCTACTATGTAGGGGTACATAACATTATATATGGATGCTCTCTTATAAGCTAAAAATAAACAATTTTAAAGAAATTTTTAGACTAAAAAATTAATTTATAATTTTTTGACGAACTTTTTAAATATTAATTTTAAAAATATAGCTTATAATATGATATTGTAGTTTATATAAAGGATGATAGCCTTTCAGAAATGAAAGAAGAAAGGCTCTATTGGAAAAAGCTTGGGTGGTACACTTTGAGGAAGGTAAAATGTTAAGAATATCAAAGGGCGATTTCGAAAAAAATATTATCAAAGATAGAACAGAGTATAAGGCCATAGTCAAGAATATCCCAAAAACAGCACTAGAAACAATGCTGCTGAGGCAATTGAAAGTAGTTAAAGCACAGGCAGTGTATATATCACACAATAGCAACAAAAATCAAAGAAGTACAGCATTAGTTTTCTTTAAATCAGAAGAGGATTTGTGTGCAGCTTTGAGTAAAAGGGTATATTACTACAATGCAAAATTAGAATGGGTAAGGAGCAAAGAATATGAAAAAAAGGATAGTAGTACACATAGAAACGACTCAGTATGCATAGAAGAAAAACTATTACAAAAGGATAGTAAAGTAGAAGAACCCTTAGACACCCTGGGTAAAATGAAAGTAAATGACTTTGGTGAAAATAAAGAGAATAAAGATCCAACTAAGCGACAGTTCAAACTAAAAAGCAATTCCAAGGGTAAACAACTAGAGATAATGGTGCAGGTTGATGAAGAAAAGCCTATAGAAATTAAAGACATGCTAACAAAAATACTAGGCAGACTAGAAAAGATCGAAGCACAATAAGAAACAAAAAACAGATTCAGAAAAAGGAGCCCATTCTCCAGATGCTCCTAAAAGTTGCTACAGGCATAACAAGAGAAAAAGGTGGCGAGGCCAGTAAGTTCGGAAAAGAAGGTGTTAAAGAGAGTAGTAGAGTGATAACTGTAGAAGTACATAATATAAATGGAGTCAAAATGAACAAATATAAGATAGATAGCTTGGTAGATTTTGCAATAGAGAAAAATATAGACATTTTGGGCTTATGTGAGACGAATATACAAGATAGAGAGGGTATTTGGCAGATTAACAAGGAGGACAAATATATTGGCTTCTGAACATCAGCAGCAGAAGAAAAGAAAAAGGGTTTAGGGGTGGTACTTCTAGTACACAAAGGTATCAAAAAATATTTAGCTAGAGTTTTAAAGTAGTCACTATATTTATTGGAAGTGACATTTATCTTTAAAGAAGAAGTGTGGGTTTTGTCAGTGATTTACATACCACCAAATAATAGTGAAGTTGAAGAAGAAATTTGCCAAAAGGTGATAAAATGATCAGAACAAAAATACAAGAATAAGGAAACAAAATATATAGTTATGAGAGACTTCAATATAGAGTTAGGAAAAATAAAGTATAATATAGAGAGAAGAGCTACAACTTTAAATAGAAAAACTCTTATCTGGGAACTTATAGATAGAGATTTCAAAAGTGCCTTCAAGAGAGTAAAAGATGAAAGAAAAATAGCTACAAAAAGAGGTGCAGAAAAAGACACAACAATTGATTATATGTGAGTCTCTAATAATTGGTTTAAAGACTTAAAAAAGTGCAAAGTACAAGAGATGGACCTGGTAACAGAAAGTGATCATCATATGATCATAATATGGTTAGAACGAGAGGATCATAGACGCATACAAAAGAAAGCTCAAAGAAAAAGAGCCAAAACCAAAAAGATATGTATAGATCTCAAAAGAATTGAACCAGACGATTGGGAAGACTTTGCACAAAAAACAGACGCTTTGGTAACTAGCCAAAAACTAAAATGAGTGAAAAGTTTAGAAAAATCAGTTGGCATCTTAAGAGGAGAAGAAAGTCAAGAGGCTTTAAACAGAGAGTAGGATATTATCGAATCTGCGATAAGAAAAGGTGCCAATAAGACTCTCCCAAAAGCAAGACCCACAGCAGAAAAAAACCCTAAAGTAAATAAGAGCTCTTCCACAAGCTCTGAGAAATCGCTAACGAAGTGAATAAGCTTTGCAGAAAAGCCAAAAAGAAAATGGGGCAGGTAATAACAGAAGAGTTAGTTAAAGCTTTAGAAAACATAAATGTTGTGATTGAAACAGAGTTAGAAGAAGCTCCAGTCACGTGGAGTCACACATGGACATGTGACATCTACAAACAACTTGAGCATATTGCAAAGACTGCAAAAAAGGTGTGGAGCAAAATGAAACTAGCGGAAGAAGAGCATAATATTAAAAAGAGAATAGAAGAAAGATGTGAGAATATCTCTTCAAACCAAAAGAGTATGCTAAATAGCATATTAGAAAAACCATACCGGAGAATCAAGTTAGATAGAGTATGTGAGGAAACAGAAGATAATATCTCCTTGGTCAATAGCAAAATAGAAGTTATGGAAAGGTAGAATCTTTCTTTGAGAAGCAATTTAGAAAGAGAAACATAAATATAGAGTTATTAAGTATATTCTGGGCAGAGCAATATAGTCCTAAAGAGAATATTAGTACTCCGCAAAATCAAATCAAATTTTGAATTTGAATCAAATATTTGAAAATATTTGATCAAAATTTTAATTATCAAATTTTAAAAAAATTTAAACGTATCATAGTTAAATTCAAATTAAACTTAGCAAATATTGTAGTATTAACCTGTATATTATCTAGCTTAATCCGAATTTTAAGAATCAATAATCTTAAAAATTTACTAAAAATAAAATAGCAGTTTAAAGTTAACTCAATAGTATAATAAATAGTATAATTAATTGGCAGATCGATATTATAATTAACAGTTATTTAAATAAATCAACTAATGATTTTATATTTACTAACATAAATCAAAATGAATGAATAAGATATATGTACAGTACATGTAATTTTACATATACATTTGTTAAATACTCGATCACTGTAATAAATAAATATAATACATCTATCTGTTACTTATTAACTTATACGTGCCTAGTAAGTTATTCTATAATGTTAGAGGGTTTCAGATTTAACTTTTTCAAAAATAAGTGGGAGTTTAGAAAAACTTATTGTTTTTTTTAAAATTCTGGATTAGAAAATTAAATAGGCGTAGCCGGTAATAAAATTGGCTTTTTTTTTGATCAACATTCACCGGTAAGCAATTATGTAAAATATTGTATCTAGTGTCAGGCTGACATCAGAAACTTATCAGAAATTCTGGAATTATAAAAACTGTTGTGAATAAAATTAGAAAGCTAGAGATCAATTTAATTTATTGTTCATTTGCAATTTGATCCACTATGAGTAGTATGTTAGTATAGTAACGGCTCAGTTCAGCTTGAGGTTGGTCAGTTTATAAATGTCTCCGAAGGATTGTCAATATTACAAAAAATTTAATCTCATATGGAATATATAATGTAACATTAACTGATGATGTTTAATGAACCTTGTGTCTATAAATTACATTAAATTTACTAGGAAATATGAACAACCAATCAAAATTTCTGCCTGTAAATATTCTTTAAAAAATTACAAATGAAACAATGAAAATGAAATATTACTTTAAATCATCGAGTACACAAAAAAAAGTTTATAGTATAATTAGTATATCTCATCAGAATGATGATCCATTTGCTACGCCACATTTTTTTGAATACTGGTTTTATAAAAAGAAGTTTAAAGTTTATCTAATTTTCAGTTTTTTTTTTAGATACATTAGAGATTACCGTTTTACAAGGCTTTCCTTTAACTACTTCTTAAATATTATGCCTTTAAACTACGTAAGCATTTGCATCGCTCTTTATGATTACACTGCTCAAAACAACGATGAAATTTTCTTTAAAGAAGATGACATACTTTATATTCTAGAAAACGACGACGACAAACGGTGGAAAGCTAAACTAAAGATCGAAAAAAGCGAAGGTGATGAAAACACTGAAGAAGGCCAGATCGGGCTTGTGCCTAGCAACTACATCCAGGAGGTATGTCGTTGAAGCTTTCAATGTACTAGAGTATAAGTCTATAGCCGATCGTACTTGGATTATGCAGAGATCTGCTTTTTATTTAGATTATTGTAAAGATCCTTCAATCTTCTTTAACAATCGCTGTTGTATTCATTATATTGTTTAGGCCGAATGTAAAAGTGTTTTGAAAGCTGTTTACGATTACGAGGCACAGTCTGACGAAGAACTGTCATTTAAAGAAGACAATATATTATATTTATATGATAAAGATGACTCTGACTGGTATTTGGTTAAATTCAATGATGTATTTGGTTTTATATAAATAAGTACACTTAAAAAAATAGAATAATAAATACATACCATATTTTATCTGAAATCAGACATCGAATAATTAATTATGAGACCCACTATTAAGTTTCTAAAGTGTGCCCTGACTTTAATTTATTTATTATTAGCTTAGCTTATTTATATTGCATTAGCTCGAAGTCACAGGTAATGTAACAAAAATTTGGCTTAAATACGTAGTATCCTCTTGGTTCAATCATAAATTGATTAATCAAATATTTATATACAGATCTAAGTAATGATGATAATTAATATTGATATATCGAAGTATAAATTATATTATAATTAGATGCATAGCGATAAATAAGATTGTAAGCAAAAATTAGATTTAAAAATAAAGTGTATAAATTTAAAAACAAATAAGATAAATCGATATAATTAATATAAAATAAATTAACAAAATTAGATTGTAAATAAATTAGTAAAGCGAAATAAAATGTCTATAATAATGAATTAATAATAAAACGTAATAAAATAATAAATAAATAAATTAAAAATCTATATATCGATATGAATTTAATTACCTTTGTATTTTTTTCATATTTATTTATTGAAATAATAACTCATTTGTTTGGTTTCAATTAAAATATGCCTTCAATTTATTAGGTAAATTCTTATAAGAAATTAAACGAAGTGAGATTAATTTATCTACTTTATAATAGCTAGTATGAAGTTTTATCTATCTTATTTAGTATATTCGTGAAAATATATTGAATTATTGTGATTTTTATAAGTAAAATTTTGTTGTAGAACTTACTAGATACATGATATATTGTAAGATCAATGTTAGACAATGATCTAAATTATAACTACAGAACTATATGATCTTGGTCATTTATTTATAGCTTTTGGGTTTATCATATTATATAGTTATAAATATATTAATCTTATTATAACTAAAGAATCTATAACAGTATAAATTTTTAATATTATTGGCCGACATTAGTTAGGATGTAGTTTGAATTAGAATTATCATTATTTTACTGCCAAGAGCTTATTTGAAATTCTGATAACACGTAGCATGTAGTTAATATAAGTTAGTTTATATTGAAATTGTAGTGATTTTTATTATAAGTTACGATAAAAACTTCTGTTAAGAACTTACTCGCTATACTTATAATACACAGTAGGTTGAGTTATTTAAAAATTAATATGATTATAAATTACTGTAAAAATTTTGTAATACAGTGGAATTTGTTATTTGATCACACATAATAAGAAGTTATGGTTGAATTAGTTCATACTAAAATTATTATAATTTTTATTATGAGCTGTTGTAAAAGATTCTATTATAATTATTCACTATTTTGGTAATATTTTAGTAATAAAGTTTGTATTAGAATTGTCGAGATTTTTATTATACATTATAATAAAAAATTCTGTTAAAGAATTTACATGTTATTCTAGTGACATACTGTATATACAGTAGTTAAGTTAGTTTGCATTAGAATTATTATGATTTTTATTGTGAGTTATATACTGTGAAAAATTCTGTCACAGAACTTGCTATTTAGTGTCAATAGTATATATATATTAAAGTTGAATTAGTTTGCATTAGAATTATAATAATTTTTTATCATGATTGCAACAAAAAAATTCTGGTAAAAAACTTGTTATTTGGTAATACATAGTATTATGTAGTTAAGATTAGGTTAGTTTGCCTTAGAATTATTATAATTTCTATTGTGAGTTATTGTAAAAAATTTGGGTAGAACTTATTCACTATATTGATAACACACAGTATAAGATTAAGGTTAAATTAGTTTATTTTAAAATTATCACAATTTCTATTATAAAAAAAAATTTATTAAACCTACTTACTATTTTAGTAATACACGGTATGTGGTTAAAAATGAGTTAGTTTGCTTTTAAATTATTATAAGTTACTGTAAAAATTCTGTTACTTGTTATATACTATTAGAATTATAATTTTTATTATAAAAACTCTGCTACAAAACTTACTCACAATTCTAGTAATATACACTAAGCGGTTAAGGTTGAGTTAATTTATATTGGAACTTTTCATAATTTCTATTGAATTATAATAAAGAATTTTGTTACAAAACTTGTATTCCGGTGATACAGTATATAGTTAAAGTTGAGTTTTGCACCAAAATTTTTATGATTTCTATTGTAAGATGATGTAATAAAAAATTAGTTGCAGAACTTACTTACTATCTCAGTAATACACAGTAAATAATTAAGTTAGTTTATATTAGATAATTTTATTATTAAAAAATTCTATTATTGAACTTGTTATTCTGATAACACACATGGTATGTGATTAAGAATGGGCTAGTTTGTATTAGAATTATCATGATTTCTATTATAAATTACTGTAAAAAATTATGTTGCAAAACTTATTCGCCATTCTGATAGCACAGAGTATGTGGTTAAAATTAAGTTGGTTTGTGTTAGATTTTTATTATGAGTTGATAAAAATTCTGTTAAAAACTTGTTATTCTGGTAAAACATAGTAGATTATTTTATATTGAATTATTGTGAATTACTGTAAAAAATTCTGTAATAAAACTTACTCATTATACTAGTAACACATAGTATCGGTATGTAGTTAAGTTTGCATTAGAATTATTATGATTTCTATTGTGAGTTACTACGTATAAAAAATTCTGTTGCAGAACATACTTGCTATTCTGTTAATACACAGTAAGAATTAAAGTTGTATATTCATTAGAATTTTTTTATTATACAAAAAAATTCTATTACTAAACTTACCGCCATTTAGTGATACACAGTATATGGTGAAGAATGAGTTAGTTTGCTTTTGAATTGTTATAGGTTTATTATAAGCTATTATAAAAATTCTGTTGCAGAACTTTTTGTTATTCTGGTAATATACAGTACATGGTTAAAGATATGTTAGTTTGCATCAGAATTATCATAAATCTTATTATAACAATTATACTGCAAAACTTTTATTTAATAACCGCATAGCAAGTAATTATAGACAAGTTAGTTTGTATTAGAATTATCATGATTTTTATTGCAAGTTACTATAAAAAATTTTATTTGGAACTTACTTATTATTCTAGTAACACAGTATATGGTTAAAGTTAAGTTTGTATTGGAATTACTATAATCTTTATTGTAAGCTACTGTAAAAATCCTATTGCATAACCTATTCATTATTCTGGCAATACTAGTATATAATTAAGGTTAAGAATTAGTTTGTATTAAAATTATTGTAATTGCTAGTATAAAAAAATCTATTAATCATTAAAGTTTTATAATTTCTATTGTAAAATACTGTAAAAAATTTTATTGCAGAACTTATTCGCTATCCTAGCGATACAATGTATATGGTTAAGTTAGTTTGTATTAGAATTATTATAATTTTTATTATAAAAAATCCAATTACTAAACTTGTTTACTATTTTAGTAATATGGTTTAAGAATAAGTTTATTTGCATTAGAATTATCATAATTTCTGTTGATACTGTAAAAATTTTGTTGCAAACTTACTTGCTATTTTAATAATACACAATATGTAATTAAAATTGTGTTAGTTCACATTAGAATTATTTTAATTTTTATTATGCAAATTTCATTATTAAACTTGCTATTCTAATAACATGCAGCATGTGGTGAAGGATGTGTTAGTTCAATTTAGAACTATCATGATTTTTTTTATTATAAGTTATTGTAAAAAATTCTGTTGTAGAGCTTATTCATTATTCTGGTAATAAATAATATAGGGTTAAGTTAGTTTGTATTAGAATTATTGTAATTTCTATTATATTATTAAACTTACTACTTTGGTGATACACAATATGTGGTTTAAGAATGAGTTAGTTTGCATTAGAATTATTATAATTTCTTTATTACTGTAAAAAAACTCTGTTGCAAAACTTACTTTGCTATTTTGATACGTAATATATATATGGTTAAGATTGTATTGTAATTATTATAATTTCTATTATGAAAAATTCTATTATTAAACTTACTTGCTATTTCGATGATATACATCATGTGGCGAAGGATAATTTAGTTTGCTTTGAAATTATTATAATTTTTGTTATAAAAAATTTTGTTGCAGAACTTATTCATTATTATAATAACACGTAATATATGGCTAAAGTCGAGCTAGTTTGCATTAAAATTATATTTTCTATCATACTATAAAAAAAAACTGTTATAGAACTCTTACTATTCTGATAACACAAAGCGGTTAAATTAGCTTGCATTGAAATTATCATGATTTCTATGAAGTTATAATAAAAAATTTTGTTGTAAATCTTACTTGCTATTCTAATGATATACTGTATACGATTAAAGTTAAGTTATTTTATATTTCATAATTTCTATTTTGAAAAACATTCCATTACTAAACTTGCTCGCTATTTCAATAACAGCAGTATGTGATTAACAATAAGTTATATTGAAATTATCATAATTTCTATTGTAAGTTATTATAAAAAATTATGTTATGGAACTTTTATTCTAATGACATACAATATTATTCTATTTTTTTAAGTGTGTACTTATTTATATAAAACCAAATACATCATTAAATTTAACCAAATACTAGTCAGAGTCATCTTTATCATATTAATATAATATATTGTCTTCTTTAAATGACAGTTCTTCGTCAGACTATGCCTTGTAATCATAAACAGCTTTTAAACCACTTTTAGATTCGGCCTAAACAATATAATAAATATAATAGTGATTGTTAAAGAAGATTGAAAGATCTTTACAATAATCTAAATAAAAAGCAGATCTCTGCATAATCCAAGTACAATCGGCTATAGACTTATACTCTAGTACATTAAAAGCTTCGATGACATACCTACAAGCCCGATCTGGCCTTCTTTAGTGTTTTCATCACCTTCACTTTTTTCGATCCTTAGTTTAGCTTTCCACCATTCATCGTTGTTTTCTAGAATATAAAGTATGTCATCTTCTTTAAAGGAAATTTCATTGTCGTTTTGAGCAGTTTAATCGTAAAAAGCGATGCAAATGCCTATGTAGTTTAAAGGCATAATATTTAAGAAGTAGTTAAAGGAAAGTCTTGTAAAACGGTAATCTCTAATGTATCTTTAAAAAAAAAAACGAAAATTGGATAAGCTTTAAACTTCTTTTTTTAAAACCAGTGTTCAAAAAAATGTGGCGTAGCAAATAGATCACCATACTGATGAGATATACTAATTATACTATGAACTTTTTTTTGTGTACTCGATGATTTAAAGTAATGTTTCATTTTCATTATTTCATTTGTAATTTTTCGAAAAATATTTACAGGCAGAAATTTTGATTGGTTGTTTATATTTCCTAGTAAATTTAATGTAATTTATGGACACAAGGTTCATTTAATATCAACAGTTAATGTTACATTATATATTCCACATGAGTTAAAATTTTTTGTCACACTACAAATATTGATATAAACTGACCAACCTCAAGCTGAACCGAGCCTTTACTGTACTAACATACTACTCATAGTGGATTAAATTGCAAATGAACAATAAATTAAATTGATCTCTAGCTTTCTAATTTTATTCATAACAGTTTTCATAATTCCAGAATTCCTGATAAGTTTCTGATGTCAGCCTGACACTAGATACAATATTTTACATAATCACTTACCGGTGAATGTTGATCAAAAAAAAAGCCAATTTTATTACCGGCTATGCCTATTTAATTTTCTAATCCAGAATTTTAAAAAAAAACAATAGGTTTTTCTAAACTCCCACTTATTTTTGAATAAGTTAAATCTGAAACTCTCTAACATTATAGAATAACTTACTAGGCACACATAAGTTAATAAGTAACAGATAAATGTATTATATTTATTTATTACAGTGATCAAGTATTTAACAAATGTAATATGTAAAATTACATGTACTGTATATATATCTTATTTGTTCATTTTGATTTATGTTAGTAAATATAAAATCATTAGTTGATTTATTTAAATAACTGTTAATTATAATATCGATCTGCCAATTAATTATACTATTTATTATACTATTGAGTTAACTTTAAACTGCTATTTTATTTCTAGTAAATTTTTAAGATTATTGATTCTTAAAATTCGAATTAAAGCTAGATAATATACAGGTTAATACTACAATATTCGCTAAGTTTAATTTGAATTTAACTATGATACGTTTAAATTTTTTTAAAATTTGATGATTAAAAATTTGATTAAATATTTTCAAATATTTGATTCAAATTCAAAATTTGATTTGATTTTGTGGAGTATTAGAGAATATAGACAAGGAATAGTACAAAGAGGTGTCATATAAAATAACAACAGAAGATTGGAATGAAGCTCTTCAGAAAACACAAAATAACTCTGCCCCAGGTCTCTTGGGCATCATGTACCCAGTCTTCAAAAACATTAGTACAAAAACAAAAGAAGCTTGTACAAAGCTTCTGTCAAAGTGTATAAAGACTGGGAATATTCTGCTGAAATGGAAAATTAGAGTTTTATACCCGATTCCTAAAAGAGAAGATTGGAACTATGATTTGAATAATGTACGCCCTATTATTCTTCTAGAGAATGTCCGGAAAGTGCTAAGTAGGGTAATAATGAAAAGGCTAGAACAGGTTCTTAAGAAACACAGCATACTCAAAGGTTCAAACTATGCAGGTCTTACAGGAAAAAGCACAGAGGACCCTATACATATTCTGAACTGTATTGCAGAAGAAGTACAGGAAAAAAAACAAGAGCTGTGGATCCTATTACAGGATATGCAAAAGGCATTTGACTCTGTAAGCATGATATCGCTAGAGTTAGCCCTCAAACGAATTAAGATGCTGACAAACATATAGAAGTATATTATTAGCCTATATAAATATAGGGAATTTGAAGTAATAACGATATATGGGAGCACTAGAGTAATTAAAGCAAAAGATGGAATAAACCAGAGAGAGGTGCTGTCCTCTCTAATATGGCGTATTTTTTATGACTCGCTTTTGTGTGAAGTGCAAAGAATTAAAGACTGGGGTTATGAAGTAGCAGTGCCATGGCCCACAGACCTAAGAAAAGGAGAGATCACTTGGATAAAACAGAGACAAGCTGTTGTGGCATACACTAATGACACGACTTGAATCGCAAAATCCAAAACAGAGTTATTAGAAATTCTAAAGAAGGCTAACGAATTCTATAAACTAAATGACATTAAGAAAAACGAGAAGAAATCAGAACTTATTGTAATTAATGGGGCTATAAGCCAAAAAGATAAAGACTGCAGCATTATTAGTGAATATGGAGTGGAGATAAAAGTGAAAAGAAATGATGAAGCAGCCAGATTTTTAGGTGTGTGGATCTCAGAGAGAAATAAAAAAAATTGTGGTACGGGCCTAGTAGAAAGAGAGGTTGCTGGATTAGTAAGAATCTTAAGAAAGAAAAAAGTATCTTTGGGGCACCTGCAGTATATAAACAATAGAGTGTTATTACCAAGATTAGAATATCGACTAAAATGCCAAGTAATAAGCAAGCAAGCTTGTAACAGAATCCATAGACCCTTCCTCAACTTACTCAAACGAAAAGCAGGTTTAGCAAGTATAGTCATACCTAAGTTATATCCTCACTGGGTTATATTCCAACCTGAGTTATATCTCCATTTTTTAGCAGAATAAATTTTCCTTTTTTATATAGTTTATATATCGAGTTATATCCCAACCTTAGTCATATCACCAAAAATACTCTGGAAAAAAGGGGATATAACTCAGGTATGAATGTACTATGACTAATAGTATCATTATACACCCTAATTTGGTAGGGTGAAAGGCTTGTAGCAAGCAAAGGTTGCACAACAAGTTTCTAGTTTAGTTAAGAGACTAAATAGTATAGAGTCGGTAGGAAATATAACCTGGATTAGACTAAGACAGGCGCAAATCGATAACAGAAGCAGCAGATGCATAATCAAGTAGTCCACTCAATAGCTGAATAAGGCGGAAATAAAGTATAATTTTAATGCAAATATAGTTAGAGATGCCACAAAATTAGGTATAGAACTGGAATGCAGTAAAGTGACAAGAAGTATGCACTTAGATGAAGGAACAAAAATCTGGTCTATGTTAAGCAAGATCGAAAGAAAACAGTATATAAAAAGCAAGTTGAACAATATTATATTCATAGAACAATTACTCGAAGAAGAGGGATCAACACTTTTAACCTGGCACCAAGTAAAATATCTAAAAGAAAATAAGGGCAAAGGGAAGAAGCCCTCATAGTTTATTAGCATCAAGGGTGCAGTGATTAATAATCAGATAACAAGAGAGGTTCATACAAGATACAAGTACGGAAGGGAGAGTCAAGTAGCTTTATTGCCCTTATTTCAGCATGTATCTGAAGATAAAAGAAAAGCAGAATGAGTTGTATTACCAAACGAAAAAGGCACAACAAAATTGGGCCAGGTAGTTAAAAAAAGTAGAGGTAAACAAAAAGTAGAAGTAACTCATTGGAAAAGAAAAAAAAATAATAATAATATTTACGACAAATGCCAAGGAAAGAGCATTAAAAAAAAACTGCATTAAAAAGCAAAGAGAAAAGAAAATCTTGTACGAGGTGCCTCTAGCAAATTTTAGCAAAAGAGCCAACATACAAACAAATATACCCATCTCATTGTCAAGCCCTATGGTAATGATCAAGAATCTAGAAGAAGATCTAATTGACAAATATATAGTGGAACAGGAGTATAGGGAAAAAACCCAGAAGTCACTGCAGAAACTAGCCAGGTATGCAGAACTAGATATCTTTACAGATGACTTCTTAGATGGGCATAGTGGAAACGGTGAGCCAAAGAAAATAGGTATAGGTTGGATCGCAGCCAAAAAGAGCACAAAAGCAGTACTGGAGCAGTTTGCAGGTGCAATAAAGGATTGGCCTTCTTCAACGAGAGCAGAAATAGGCACTATAGGGCTTGCATTATTAGCAGTACCGAACAAATGCAAAGTACAGATTTTTACAGATAGTGCAAATGCAATTAGTGTTATTAAAAAGGTTAAAGCTAGCCTAAATGAAACAAAAACCACTAAGCTCAAGAATGGGAGTATCATTGCAATAGTGATAAATTTGGTTGAGATTAAAGAGATTGATATTAGCTTTGTAAAGGTGAAAGGTCATAGTAGGATTAAATTAAATAAGGCAGCTGATAGGCTAGCAAAGGAGGGTAACAGTTCTAAGGAGTGTTGTAGTTTTAGAGTAGAATGGTCCAAGTTAATGAAGGTGGTACCGAGGTGAGATAGTCATATTGTTGATATACCTATTAGAAAAATGATAGACAGCATAACAAAAATGTATTATAGTATAGGTTGAATAAATAGCAAATATATAGATAGTTTAATTAGAAGTAGTTCAGAAAAGAAATGGTTAGACTGGAGGAGAATATGGGGAATGCAAAGAAAAGAGGTGAAATATAGATGCAGAAGCTTAAAAGATAGTCACAGTTGGGTTTTTAAAATAAAGTGTATAAACGGGTTGCTGCCAATGACAGATCCAGGATATAGGTGAGATTTTTCAGATCATGTGCACTCCGACTCACTGACCCTGTCTCAGATGATCATCAGGTTTTTACATTAGCAATGATTGTGTTTATATGTTTATATTTTTTATTTTTATTTTTTGCTAACAGTTTAACAGCACCGTTAGAATTGCTGTTCTCTAAAGTTGTTGTAGAAGTCATTGTTGGAGCTATTATAGGAATTGTCATCGTCGTTGGAGTCAAATTTTATTGAGTTTATATTGGTAGGTGGGTTTCGTCACCTTTTTCCTTGGTGCTTTGCCTTTGGAGTTACTATTTAATTCGTCTACTTTAACAATTTTGTTTCATAAGAATTTAATTGTAATCATTTAATTGTTTAATAAATTACCAAGATAAGTATAAAGTTTAATTCCGTTTACTGTGTTCAAAAGAATGTATATTAACTGTAATTATTTAATTGTTCAATAAATTATCAGAATGAGTATGAAGTTTAATTTCATCCACTTTAATGATTGTGTTTTAAAAGATTAACTATAATCATTTAAATTGTTCAATAAATTACCAAGATAAGTATAAAGTTTAATTCCGTTCACTTTAATATTTGTGTTCAAAAGAATGTATATTAACTGTAATTATTTAATCATTCAATAAATTATTAGAATGAGTATGAAGTTTAATTCTGGTCACTTTAACGATTGTGTTTCAAGAGAATGTGTATTT